GATAGAAAATTGATCTACGTGATAGAAAATGGTAAGAAGTTATAAAGTGTTGGAGAAAAAGGGGATTGAACATGCAATCTGGAAACGTTCTCTTAGACAAAGGTACCTGATCCTAATCCCAGATAATCGTCAGCCTATCCAGAGAGGTATCATCGGTGGTGGGGTTTCCTGATTTGAACCGGGACTTATTTACATCTAGACGGTAAACAATCCCCAGGAGACTACGTTGTCAGTCATCCATGATGACCTCCTAGATATTTGTGTCAGTTATGTGATAAAGTATCTGAGTCAGCAGCAGGTCTGAAGAGTCATATAAGAGTAGATAAGTACTAATTATTTCGACTGGCATAAGAAAATCAGGCCTTTTTAGTCACTTTACGCTTTTACTACTGCAACAATTTCTATTTCCGAATATATATATATATATATATATATATATATATATATATATATATATATCAAATGACAATTGGAAAAAAATCTTACATTTTGCCGACGCGTTTCGTCTTCCGACTTTTTCAAGGCAAAAATGAAATCGAAATGTTTTTGCTGTTATAGTTACATTAAAAATCCAAATTTAAAAAGATAGACGCTTGTGTCTAAGCCTTTTTTCTGGTTAATGTAAATTACCTTTATAGTAAGGGATTATTATTTTTTTTTTTTCGATTTCATTTTTGCCTTGAAAAATTCGGAAGACGAAACGCGTCGGCAAAATGTAAGATTTTTTTCTAATTGTCATTTGGTACCAATCTGTCTTGTCCACAGAATTCATCTGGGAATTTAACTATATTGTCGACATGGAAAAAAAAAAAAATAATAATAATAATTCATCTGGGAATTTAACTATATATATATATATATATATATATATATGGGAATGGAATGTGAGGTCTACTTAAAAAATGAAAAGCAAGCAACGCAAAAATAAAAATACAAAAATTATTTCTTTCTCCTGCATATTTCATTTTTCATTTTCTGATGAAGCTTTAACAAAAGCGAAACATGTTAAATTCATAAACGTTTCTTATTAGTTCCTTATCCTATCGCTAGCAGTATAACCCACCTTCGACCGGGTGTTCCATTACTGGAAATTTTTGACGTTCAATTGGAGCAGTTTAAAGTCAGCCCCCACCTCGAAAATCAATATTAGTAACAACAACTAGGTGCAACTGAGGCATATCCCCAAATACGGGGTTTAACAATTTGAATTGAAGGTGTCCCTGAAAATGGCCGTTTTTGCGTTTTCAATCTTGAAATGAAAGAACCTCTTCCATGGACTGACATAATGATAATAATATACGATAATTTTTATTTGTAATATAATATTTTTTATAATTCTAATAATCTTTTCTGTTAGATTTCAACTCTCTAAATTGATTGTACACTGTTTTTTACCGATATTAAATGTTGACTTTGATTTTTGCGCAAAGTGTAAAAAATCAGGGTTTTTTTCGATTTTTTACCTTCAAGGTTGTAATTTTTTCCAGCCAATTTGAACTCAAAACCGACACTGAAGAATTGTCCATCAAACAAAAAATAACATTCATCGAAATCGGATGATAACTATGGAAACGCATAAACAATATCCGATCATACACACACATACATACACTCACATTTTGTGAATTATAGATATACAGAGTCCACCAAAAAATGTATACACACTTTAGCGTGTACAGATATTGTAATGCTAAATTTATTCAGACATCACAAAATTAATACAAGTTACCTTTGGACACTACAATCAAAAGAGATGATCAAAATGGCGGCCATTAGCTTCCAGACATTCATTAGTACGGCGAACTACTGCTTGGGCAACGTTGGTCAAAATGTCTAAATGGATTGCTGCACATTCATTTTCAATTTCTTTTCTAAGGACAGCCAATGTAGTCAGTTTTCTTAGATACACAACATCCTTTAGCCCACCACCACACCACTCCAAAGTAAAAGTCTGCACGTGTTCAATCAGCAGAAATCTGTAACACTTCGTCCTTGACAGTGTCCTTGCAAATCCTCAGCCAGATAAGCTCGCACGTCTTGCTGGTAATGTGGCGGTGCATCGTCTTGTCGAAAGAAAAATTAATCATTTCCAATTTGATATAACTACGAAAGAGAAGTCAATCCTTTCCTGAAATGCGTATACATTTTTTGGCAGACTCTCTCTCTCTCTCTCTCTCTCTGTATATATATATATATATATATATATATATATATATATATATATATATGATATATATATATATATATATATATATATATATATATATATATATATATCCAAGTGTAAAATAAGTGCAAGAGCATAATCCCAATGTCCAAACTTTATATTTTTAAAAAGTGCTCAATACAGAATAGAGCTTTATAATATTTATTAACAATTATAACAAAAACATGTTATAAGCCGCTACATAAATGCAATCATGCTTCGGCACTATAGGCAACCTACTGCGGGAAAAATCTGCCTCGCCAGTATGTATCTTTCGATACATGATTGCCTAAGCGTATATCACGCATGGCACATAACTGACTGATTGACTGAACAAGTTATTTAAAATTAAACTTAGATGTTAAGAAAGTGTCAAGTTTATAGTATTCTTTCTCAATGGAAATAAAATACAAAGTATCAAGATAAAAGCGAAGGACCAGGGTGTACAGTATCGGCCAATGGGTGTTTATAGTTATATACAATGTGGACATAGGATTCATCACTGGCTAGTGACTCTCAATTCCACCTTTCAATATAATCTTCCGAGCAAGTGTCATTAATTATTTAGTGGCCTATATATATTTCCAGAAGATAAACTCCAAAATAAAAGATCAGAACTCTCTTCCAAATTCAGGCAAGAAAACACATTCATTCTACGCTACCTACAACAACATCAAGACAAAAAAAGACTAAATTAAAATTCCATAACCTAATTCTAATAAACTTCATTCCTAATAGCAAATTATAGGGAGAATAAAATACCACTTAATCCATTATTGAAGTGATTGCCTTCTCTCCAGAAGTGTCAATCACTAGATTCATTTGCTAAACGTAGATTAAATGTGGCATAAGATCAAAAGTGTGGAGCACTTAGTGAGGATCGAACTCAGTACACAGTCTTAAGCAAGACAAGCTGGCTAATCGTTTACACCAGCCTCGGGTCAATATGCGACATGTGCGTGTTTGTGTATATTTATATTTAAACGTGTATGTGTGTACGCAATTCTACATGAAAGGGCTCATAAGCAAATTTAATTTAATGTCTGTATATGACACGTTCGGTGGAAGAAGGGCGCATTCAACTAAAAATCGAGAATTTCTTTTTTCACTGCAAATTATTCATTATATCATATCCAAGTATTTTACAAAAAATTAGAACTAATTACATCATATTTAAAGCTTAATTTAGGTTTATTGTTCGTAACCATCCAATGAGATGTGGTAACATAAACCGTAGATTTGTCTACGGAATATCATTACATTATTGTTACATAATTATAGTGAAATCATTAAGGTTTTTTGTTGTTTTTTTGTCAAAGGCATTTTATTTTTGGTCATAAATTAATTTAAATTATTCTTTTTTACAGGATTTATTTTTCAAATGAAATAAGATCATTCTAAATTTCAGAATTTCGCTATTGCCTATCAAAATGACTAGAAGATTCTAACAATAACAATCTTAATGAGAGGTAACAAAGCGTCAACGAAATAGCTCTAGTTTGTTTTAACGTACCAAACTTAATTTTGTAGTCAGAGTATTCTAAAATTATACCAATAACAAAGGAGAAAATGAACAATACCTAACAACAAATCGAATACAGCATTAAAATTTATATTATTTTTATTTATTTATGTAGTTAAGTACGTAAATGTCGACAACGTTTCCATAAAGCTTGATATTTCTTGTAAGAAATTCTTAATAAATATTATTGTTATTATTTTACTTATGTGTAATGTAGTCATACATTTACAATTGCTTACGGCACGAAAGCACTACTAACACTGCTACTACTAACACTGCTGCTACCACTACTAAAACTAATAATAATACTAATAATACATTAATCACTTTTACATCGCCATCTGCTTAATACACTTGAAATCGATCCAAGATTTCGCGCTGATGTTTCCAAGAATGGTGCGTGACAAATTATGGTAATTATGACGGAAATAGGGGAGGTGCAGAGTCAAGGGAAGAGTGGCAAATTCGTGGTTGGAAATGAAGAAAAGTCTATATGTTTCCAAGATATATCCCATCATTCATCAGCAGTCCCCCGCCCCCACAAAAAAACAAAACAAAAAGAAATCGACGTCGACTTCCGCTGAGCTGAAATGGAGCGTGAATCAAAGGAGTTTAAGGGAAGATTAGAAGCCGCAGTTGAAGGAGACAATTTGGCATGAAACGTGCCAATTCGGTATGAGGTGGGGAATGATTTTCGCCAGGCTTAGGAAAAGCAAGCAAGGCGATAAATGATCTAGTGATCGAGATGTTTACCCAATAAAAGATCCAAGAGTCACTCAAGGTAGAAGGTTACTGAATGAGGGTTTTTTAAGAGGAGGAAATAAGTACAGGGATTATGAAGATATGTAGGATAGAAAACGGTTGTAAATGTTGAGATTGTAGTGGTCGGAGAATCCTCCTCTTTGCAGTCTGTTTCACAAACTAGCGGTTTCTAGAAAGAAGCTACCTGAGGGAAGTTCTTTGTTACGAATGGAATACGGGGGGACGAGGATGATTTAATAATGTGTATGTGCCATAACTGATAAGGTCTGAACTGGTGGAACAAAGGAATATGTTGGTTCGAACGTTTGCAATGAAGGTAGGAATAGGCTTGCAACATTTCGTCTGCGAGAAAGGGGCTTTAAGGTTGAAAATAATTCATCACTCATAAGGCCGTGTAAACGCTTTTGAAGCCAGTCAAGGCTAGAACTGAGGATTGGTCAGCTTCAGTAATATTCCATTTTCTGTCGGTGATGGCTGTGGTCGTAGTGATTTTCGACAGTGGTGGTTGACCTGCTAGAAGAAGAAAAAGAAGAAGAAGAAGAAAAGGAGGAGGAGGAAGAGGAAGAAAAGAATGAAGAGAAAGATGAGAAAAAGAAGAAGAAAAGAAGAAGGGGAGAGAGAAAAGAAGAAGTAGGAGAAAAAGATGAAGAAGAAGGAAGAGGAGGAAGAGCAAACAAGAAGAAGGAGGAGGGGAGGAGGGGGAAGAAGGAGGAAGAAGAAAAAGAAGAAGAAAAGAGAAGAAAAAAGAAGGGGAAGAAGAAGAAGAAAAAGGAGAGGAGAGAAAAAAACAGGAGGAGTAGGAGAAAAAGAAGAAGGAGGAAGAGGAGAACGAGGAAGAAAATAAGAACAAAAGAGGGGGATGAGAGAGAAAAGATGTAGAAAAAGAAGAAGAAAGGAAGGAAGGAAGGAGAAGACGAAGAAGGAGGAGAAGAATGAGAAGAAGAAGTAGTAGAAGAAAAGAAAAAGAAAGAGAAGAAAGTGATGATGAATATGATTCAGAAAAAAAAAAACGAAAAGCTAAAAGAATAGAAATATGAAAAATAAGAAAGTAACGTTGAAGAAAATAAATAAAAAAAGTAGAAGAAAAGAAAAAAGACGAAGAAAAAATAGAGAAAATGGCCGATAAAGAAAAGATGAAAATGATGCAGGGAAAGGAGTAAAAGAAGAAGAAAACAGAAGAAAAAGACGAAGAGAAAAACCTAGTAGAAAGGAGACGATGAAAAAGATAGAAAGAAGAACGTAAAGAAGAAAGAAACAAGATGGAGGAAAATTAAAACAGTAGCTTTAATTGTTTTCTGTCAAACATCCTCCTCCCCCTAATTCACACACTGTATATGCATTGAATGAACAGAACAAAGCAATTCAGCACTCTTTTCTTTGTTCCTAACGACATTTTCCTATCTCTTAATACTTTGCTTACTTTCTGAAAGGCCTAAGGAATTTCTCCAGCATTCACCGCCATATAGGAGATTAGATATTACATAGCAATTCAGCACTCTTTTCTTTGTTCCTAACGACATTTTCCTATCTCTTAATACTTTGCTTACTTTCTGAAAGGCATAAGGAATTTCTCCAGCATTCACCGCCATATAGGAGATTAGATATTACATAGCAATTCAGCACTCTTTTCTTTGTTCCTAACGACATTTTCCTATCTCTTAATACTTTGCTTACTTTCTGAAAGGCCTAAGGAATTTCTCCAGCATTCACCGCCATATAGGAGATTAGATATTACATAGCAATTCAGCACTCTTTTCTTTGTTCCTAACGACATTTTCCTATCTCTTAATACTTTTTTCTTACTTTCTGAAAGGCCTAAGGAATTTCTCCAGCATTCACCGCCATATAGGAGATTAGATATTACATAGCAATTCAGCAATCTTTTTCTTTGTTCCTAACGACATTTTCCTATCTCTTAATACTTTGCTTACTTTCTGAAAGGCCTAAGGAATTTCTCCAGCATTCACCGCCATATAGGAGATTAGATATTACATAGCAATTCAGCACTCTTTTCTTTGTTCCTCACGACATTTTCCTATCTCTTAATACTTTGCTTACTTTCTGAAAGGCCTAAGGAATTTCTCCAGCATTCACCGCCATATAGGAGATTAGATATTACATAGCAATTCAGCACTCTTTTCTTTGTTCCTAACGACATTTTCCTATCTCTTAATACTTTGCTTACTTTCTGAAAGGCCTAAGGAATTTCTCCAGCATTCACCGCCATATAGGAGATTAGATATTACATAGCAATTCAGCACTCTTTTTCTTTGTTCCTAACGACATTTTCCTATCTCTTAATACTTTGCTTACTTTCTGAAAGGCCTAAGGAATTTCTCCAGCATTCACCGCCATATAGGAGATTAGATATTACATAGCAATTCAGCAATCTTTTCTTTGTTCCTAACGACATTTTCCTATCTCTTAATACTTTGCTTACTTTCTGAAAGGCCTAAGGAATTTCTCCAGCATTCACCGCCATATAGGAGATTAGATATTACATAGCAATTCAGCAATCTTTTTCTTTGTTCCTAACGACATTTTCCTGTCTCTTAATACTTTGCTTTTTCTGAAAGGCCTAAGGAATTTCTCAGCATTCACCGCCATATAGGAGATTAGATATTACATAGCAATTCAGCACTCTTTTCTTTGTTCCTCACGGCATTTTCCTATCTCTTAATACTTTGCTTACTTTCTGAAAGGCCTAAGGAATTTCTCCAGCATTCACCGCCATATAGGAGATTAGATATTACATAGCAATTCAGCAATCTTTTCTTTGTTCCTAACGACATTTTCCTATCTCTTAATACTTTGCTTACTTTCTGAAAGGCCTAAGGAAGAATTTCTCCAGCATTCACCGCCATATAGGAGATTAGATATTACATAGCAATTCAGCAATCTTTTCTTTGTTCCTAACGACATTTTCCTATCTCTTAATACTTTGCTTACTTTCTGAAAGGCCTAAGGAATTTCTCCAGCATTCACCGCCATATAGGAGATTAGATATTACATAGCAATTCAGCAATCTTTTCTTTGTTCCTAACGACATTTTCCTATCTCTTAATACTTTGCTTACTTTCTGAAAGGCATAAGGAATTTCTCCAGCATTCACCGCCATATAGGAGATTAGATATTACATAGCAATTCAGCAATCTTTTCTTTGTTCCTAACGACATTTTCCTATCTCTTAATACTTTGCTTACTTTCTGAAAGGCCTAAGGAATTTCTCCAGCATTCACCGCCATATAGGAGATTAGATATTACATAGCAATTCAGCAATCTTTTCTTTGTTCCTAACGACATTTTCCTATCTCTTAATACTTTGCTTACTTTCTGAAAGGCATAAGGAATTTCTCCAGCATTCACCGCCATATAGGAGATTAGATATTACATAGCAATTCAGCAATCTTTTCTTTGTTCCTAACGACATTTTCCTATCTCTTAATACTTTGCTTACTTTCTGAAAGGCCTAAGGAATTTCTCCAGCATTCACCGCCATATAGGAGATTAGATATTACATAGCAATTCAGCACTCTTTTCTTTGTTCCTAACGACATTTTCCTATCTCTTAATACTTTGCTTACTTTCTGAAAGGCATAAGGAATTTCTCCAGCATTCACCGCCATATAGGAGATTAGATATTACATAGCAATTCAGCAATCTTTTCTTTGTTCCTAACGACATTTTCCTATCTCTTAATACTTTGCTTACTTTCTGAAAGGCCTAAGGAATTTCTCCAGCATTCACCGCCATATAGGAGATTAGATATTACATAGCAATTCAGCAATCTTTTCTTTGTTCCTAACGACATTTTCCTATCTCTTAATACTTTGCTTACTTTCTGAAAGGCCTAAGGAATTTCTCCAGCATTCACCGCCATATAGGAGATTAGATATTACATAGCAATTCAGCAATCTTTTCTTTGTTCCTAACGACATTTTCCTATCTCTTAATACTTTGCTTACTTTCTGAAAGGCCTAAGGAATTTCTCCAGCATTCACCGCCATATAGGAGATTAGATATTACATAGCAATTCAGCACTCTTTTCTTTGTTCCTAACGACATTTTCCTATCTCTTAATACTTTGCTTACTTTCTGAAAGGCCTAAGGAATTTCTCCAGCATTCACCGCCATATAGGAGATTAGATATTACATAGCAATTCAGCACTCTTTTCTTTGTTCCTAACGACATTTTCCTATCTCTTAATACTTTGCTTACTTTCTGAAAGGCCTAAGGAATTTCTCCAGCATTCACCGCCATATAGGAGATTAGATATTACATAGCAATTCAGCAATCTTTTCTTTTTTCCTAACGACATTTTCCTATCTCTTAATACTTTGCTTACTTTCTGAAAGGCCCTAAGAAATTTCTCCAGCATTCACCGCCATATAGGAGATTAGATATTACATAGCAATTCAGCACTCTTTTCTTTGTTCCTAACGACATTTTCCTATCTCTTAATACTTTGCTTACTTTCTGAAAGGCATAAGGAATTTCTCCAGCATTCACCGCCATATAGGAGATTAGATATTACATAGCAATTCAGCAATCTTTTCTTTGTTCCTAACGACATTTTCCTATCTCTTAATACTTTTAGCTTACTTTCTGAAAGGCCTAAGAATTTCTCCAGCATTCACCGCCATATAGGAGATTAGATATTACATAGCAATTCAGCACTCTTTTCTTTTGTTCCTAACGACATTTTCCTATCTCTTAATACTTTGCTTACTTTCTGAAAGGCCTAAGGAATTTCTCCAGCATTCACCGCCATATAGGAGATTAGATATTACATAGCAATTCAGCAATCTTTTCTTTGTTCCTAACGACATTTTCCTATCTCTTAATACTTTGCTTACTTTCTGAAAGGCCTAAGGAATTTCTCCAGCATTCACCGCCATATAGGAGATTAGATATTACATAGCAATTCAGCAATCTTTTTTTTGTTCCTAACGACATTTTCCTATCTCTTAATACTTTGCTTACTTTCTGAAAGGCCTAAGGAATTTCTCAGCATTCACCGCCATATAGGAGATTAGATATTACATAGCAATTCAGCACTCTTTTTCTTTGTTCCTCACGACATTTTCCTATCTCTTAATACTTTGCTTACTTTCTGAAAGGCCTAAGGAATTTCTCCAGCATTCACCGCCATATAGGAGATTAGATATTACATAGCAATTCAGCAATCTTTTCTTTGTTCCTAACGACATTTTCCTATCTCTTAATACTTTGCTTACTTTCTGAAAGGCCTAAGGAATTTCTCCAGCATTCACCGCCATATAGGAGATTAGATATTACATAGCAATTCAGCAATCTTTTCTTTTGTTCCTAACGACATTTTCCTATCTCTTAATACTTTGCTTACTTTCTGAAAGGCCTAAGGAATTTCTCCAGCATTCACCGCCATATAGGAGATTAGATATTACATAGCAATTCAGCAATCTTTTCTTTGTTCCTAACGACATTTTCCTATCTCTTAATACTTTGCTTACTTTCTGAAAGGCATAAGGAATTTCTCAGCATTCACCGCCATATAGGAGATTAGATATTACATAGCAATTCAGCAATCTTTTCTTTGTTCCTAACGACATTTTCCTATCTCTTAATACTTTGCTTACTTTCTGAAAGGCCTAAGAATTTCTCCAGCATTCACCGCCATATAGGAGATTAGATATTACATAGCAATTCAGCAATCTTTTCTTTGTTCCTAACGACATTTTCCTATCTCTTAATACTTTGCTTACTTTCTGAAAGGCATAAGGAATTTCTCCAGCATTCACCGCCATATAGGAGATTAGATATTACATAGCAATTCAGCAATCTTTTCTTTGTTCCTAACGACATTTTCCTATCTCTTAATACTTTGCTTACTTTCTGAAAGGCCTAAGGAATTTCTCCAGCATTCACCGCCATATAGGAGATTAGATATTACATAGCAATTCAGCACTCTTTTCTTTGTTCCTAACGACATTTTCCTATCTCTTAATACTTTTGCTTACTTTCTGAAAGGCCTAAG